TTATACATACACACTTCTAAGCACATATATAAATTATTATGGTCAATTTTATAACATTCACTTAAATAATACATAATCGACTTAATCAATAAAAAATTAATTATTTTATGAGTGGATTTATTACACATAAGTGATAACGAACGAACACGTTAACTCGGTGTACTTTCAAAAAGCAACTTTTCAAAAATCAACAATTATTATATTTGTACCAGTTTCCGTAGGATTTTAATGGTTGAGTATGTTTATTAAGACCAAGTACTATATTGCTATACCAAATAAATCGTCCAATTTTAATTTTAGCTAACGTCAAAAAAAACTACTTATTTTCTCAAACTTTGATGAATTTTTAAAATTAAACTACTTATCATAAGAGTGTAATATTTCAGTATGACCATGATATATATCGCTAAAAAAAATCCATCAAAATCGGCTTAATTTTTTTTTCAACTGTTAATTACAAGAAAACGGCTCGGTAGATTTTCACCTAATACTAATCAGTACCATTCCCAACTAATATCTTTCGAACAGTTTTTGATCTTTTAAAATCGGTTCGGTAGGATGAGCTTAAATGTGGACGAAAAGTTTAACACTTTTATTCAAATTACAAAAAACGGCTTGGCAGATCGTCGCACAAAACTGACAAACGATAGTCCTCATCGAAATACATCAAATGGCTTTTAAATTTCTGAAATCGGTTCAGGCGTTTTTGAGAAAACGTCGATGAAAGGTCTAATTTTGACAAATGCCAAGAAAACGGTACCAATTCTTGCAAACTTTGACGAATTTTCAAAGTTAAACCAATTGTCGTAGGGCCATAATATTTTAGTATAATCTAGAAGACTACAGTATCTACCGTCAAAAAAATAATAATAAAAATCGTCGAAAAAAAAAATTTAACACTTTATTACAAGAAAACGGTCCGGCCGATCTTTACCAAAAACTAATCAGCACGATTCCCAATCAATATCTTTCGTACGGTTTTTGAATTTTTATAATTGGTTCAGAATTGCGGCGAATAATTTTTCACTTTTCTGCTATTTATAAAGAAACGTCTCGGCCGATCGTCCCACAAAACTGACAAACAATAGTCGATTTACGGCAAACACACACATACTTTTTCCAAATTTGGTCTCATTCGATTCAGAATGGCTTGAAACGTCGAGAAAACATAAAATTAGCGAATATGATTTTTTGATGAAAACATAAACTTCTCCTTCGGGAAGTTAATTATTGTGATAAATTTTACTATATCAATAGTTGAAAAATTACTTCAATGAGTGATTCGCCAATACTGTTCATTTCTACAAATATGTGGTAGTGCTAAAAGTCTTCAATATTATTTCATCATCACATAAAACCTAACTTCACCTTTGTGTTATTAATAACACATAAGAAAGATGCACTTATGATAAAATTATTTGACATTGGTGCGTTTTGAAGATTAGGTCTTATGGGCAAAACGCCAGATTGCATAGCAAATACATTAGTTTGAGATGACCAACTTAAATCCTTAACTTACGATTTAGATTCGAAAATGTCGGGCCAAAGTTGATCAAGCTGGGGCAGCGTTTGTGGCTATTTTTCCACACAGTGTACAGTTTATCACAAAAATAAAAATAATTTTGTGTTTTATAGTTTTGTATAAATAAATATTTTGTAATAGTTGCGATTACCTAGCCATCGCACGCGTGCTCTGCTCGTCATTTTAAGTTAAGGGGTCAAACTATTAAAGACCTTTAACACAGTAGTACCATAACATTTCGATTTTATCCAAGAATAGGCTCCTGAAATTTCGATTCTCATTTCTGACTCCTCTGATATTTTAACTCTGTAACTTTTTAATGTCGACAAAATCGTGCAGTGTTCTGTTATCCGGTCGTCGTCCTTCTTTGATTCCCGGCCGGAGCAAATCTAGTGCCTCCATCAGTCACAGCTCGGGGAGTGTTGACTGTGTGGACCGAGATGAATGCTTCCGCAGGGCCGAGGGAACAGGGCGCCCGAGGATGCCATTTCTTGCTAGATATACAGGTGTCTTACGTGTAATCCGGCTTAGCTAAACTAATGCAACGGTAATGGTTTACTAATAGTTTTCTATGATAGGAGTTTCTCTAATTTTTCCTATGATAAACATTCTTACTGATAAGCTGAATACTTGACCAAGTTGCCTCGATCGGATCAAACTACATCCAATTTAATAAAATTCTTTAATGGTAAAATTTATGTTGAATATGATGTTGGTAGTGCCAATTTTATATAAACACTAGATGGTTTCGTGAGAATGAGAAGAAATTTTTTGTTTGCTTTATATTTAAAAAGGAAAATTTTGATTTTATTACAAAACAGTAATGAATTTATTTCGATTACAAACATGAAGTGTTTTTTAGTTGAACTTCTCTAAGTAAATGAAAGTGAATCCGCAAATTATCCGTTTCATTGAAGTGCTCTTTGGTAAACCACATTTTTTGTTTTTTGGTCTGACGTTAACACAAACAAAGCGGATGGTTTCCCAACTCGTGAACAGGCAACGTATAACTGCCCATGTAGAAAATAATGATTTTCTAAATAATCTATTTGAAATTTATCCCGCAAACACTAACACTAGCCTTGCGACTTGTTATTGCTAATAGCTAGATTAAAATATAAATAACTCCCCAAGTTATGGCAATCGCAAAAAAAATGAAGAAGTGGTCAATATTTCAGAAAGGCAGGTCTAGCGGTTTCAGAGATCTAATAAAAAAGGTAAAAAAATGCCATTTGGCTGTCAAAAATGATCGTTAAACATATGCACATCAAATTATCAGATATTTTATAGAATCTGGACCTACGGAATTGAGCTCTGGGGTTGTGCTTACAAATCTAATATAGCTATAATGCAGAGAACTCGGTCAAAAATTTTACGTACAATTCTCAATTCTCCGTGGTACGTGACAAATGAAACCATTCACAGCGACCTCAACATGAAAACGGTGCAATTAACGTTCAAAGAATTCAATGAAAAATACAAACGCAAACTGGACTCACATTCGAACCCATCTATAGTTGACATTACTCAACCTTTTGGCATTAGGAGGTTGAAACGACAATGGCCCTTAGACTTAGTGTTAGATTAGGTCTAATATAATATCATATTAATTGTAAAACTGAGAAGTTCTCATTGGAGTTCTTCTTAGGCATCACTCATAAAGATTGTCACTTTAGCTCATAGGAATCTTTATATATTTCTGATTGCTAAATAAAACTGAGTTAGAAAAAAAAAAAAAAGATTTTGAATAAGTATAAATTTTGGTTGCATTCTTATGGATTTATTTCCGTACCAATGTTTATTCATTAGACGGCGACGCGGCGCTTACGCGCTTTGACATTTTGTCTCTATGCAGTTAATGCAATACGATTGCTTTGAAAAAAGTTCAGAATTTCCAAAATATGTCAAAATAAAGAAAACATTTTTTTTTCAAAAAAAGTAATTTTTTGTCAAATTCCTGGTTTCTCAAAAATCTATTTTTTTCGAAGTCAATTTTTTTCAAAAATGTTAATCGTTTTAAAAAAAATAATAAAATTTGGTACGGGAAGTTCCAGCAATTGGCCTTAAGGCACGATGCCCTAATTGCCTTAAGACAGAATTCCACTTACAGCTAGTTAAGAAAGCGTTAATAAATACTTAATTCGCTATATAAAAATAAGTATATATTATAGGAAAGAACAATTCCAAGCACGTTAGGAACTCCATATACTCTTACTTCTTTATATCCATGCATCATTTTTACATGACTTGAAATTCATGAATGTATTGAAGAGAATAAAATAAAAAAATGTCTAATCTAATAATACCAAAATGTGCCGAGTTTCTTTTTATTACGTTCCAGGTAGTCTCGTTGAAATAGTATGTATTACCGCGTGATCTAAAATGCATGAAAAGGAGCAATTACCCAGAAGAGATCGTGAAAAATTCACGACTTTGATTTTTCTCTTCTTGATTAAAACGTACAAGTCACTTCCGCCTTATTCTCTTTGTCAGTATCATGTTTCTGTATATTGTTTTAATATTTCCGTCAAATAAAATTTCCTTTTCAAAACGGTAAACGACAAGAACATACAACCGTTCGCATTTACATCGACGTCAAAGTTCGACTTAACTTCACAGACGTCCTTATATTATACAACTGCCAAAACTTTTAGCTCTGCACGAAAATTTTATTGCTAAGTTTTCCTGAGTTTATATGACGATAAAATATGCTTGCCGTTTTAAGAGATTCTGGGTTTGCGAAAAAATCATAATTCAATGGCTAAGTATTCAACTTAAATTTTTGTACAGCAGACGTTCATGTTTTATTCAGTATCAAATCGACCTTCGAAAATGTTAAACCTATCAATCTAATCTTCTTATTAGGAGTGCTGGCTGAATCTTATACAAACTTTGCAAACTCTGTTAGAATTGAGTTTATTTCATGCATTTTTAATTTAAATAAACTGAAGCATTGATGTACATGGTCTAGACTTTGAACAAATACAATTTGTTATTAGATGGATATTTAATACAAAAATAATATAAAAATCGTACGTTCATTGCCAATCTCATTTCTAGTAGATGTGAAAATATTCCTGAACTTGGTATTCCTCTTGTTCTTTACCAAACAATTTTATTTAACTTTTACACACTAATTGAATTTTGAGGTTTTGAATTTTGTATTTTGTATTTTGTGTCTACGTTTATTACGCTAAATTTGTTTGAATTATACCGATATATTTATTTTTGTGAATTTTATGCTATTTATGTTTCATAAAATTAAATTATCCATTGTTGAATCAGTAGATTGATATTTTGAAAATTATACTAAATAAATTTTAATGCGATCAATAATCAAGATAAGAATTTTGTTATAATAATAAGAATACAGTGTCAAACTATTATCTAAAGATTCATTTATTAATTTTGTGTACGTAAATCTATAACCAAAACGTGGATTCTAAAGTGTTCTTCAATTACCTTTAATTTGTTACAGATGTTGATAATGGTGTTAGTTTGTCTTGAATTTTTGTGAAGTGCTTGAAGTTTGATTTTTCAAGGAAGAAGGATTTTATTATAAGGACAATGGTGCTGAAAAAGGGAAGAGTTATTGCCGCCGCCGTGGTTACCTGCATTGTTTTACAAGGTAAGGCTTTTATTTTAATATTTTATATAAAAGTATTTTAATATTTTAAAATTAAATATTTTTTTATATTTTAATATTAAATATCTTTTAATATTATATTATTAAATATTTTTTAATATTTTATTATTAAATTTTTTTTATGTTATTATTAATTTTTTTTTATTATTTTAATACTTTAATATTTATTTGTGTAAAATTTTGTGGTATTTTTCAAATATTTATTACTTTATAAAAATGATTTTTTTAATACAAAATAGCAAAGTTCTGAGCGAACAAGGAAGGAAAAGATTTTAAAAAAATTAGAGAATCTTTCTTTGTATAATTTAAATTACTTAAAATAAATTAAATTTTACGTTCTAATATGCATATGTAAATTATAAGATGTGAATATATTACTTTATATATAATTTTTAAATTAATAAATATAAGCAATACTTTTCTAATAGCTTAAAATAGCTTCTAATCAATTTATTATCAATAAATAAATATCATTTAATAGTAATAGTTTTAGTATTAGAAATCTGCGCATTTAAAATTTGCATCTGCAGGTGCAAAAATTTTTATGATATCATTAACCGTTCCCGAGATATTCGCTAAAAACCATTCGCTCCTTTTCACATATTAAAAATGCGTTTTTCTCGAAAACTATTTGAAGTGCGATCGAAATTTTTTAATAGCATTTTCCTTATGCCATAAGGTATCAACGTTGTGAAAATCATCAAAATCGGAAATAAAAAATTTTCATCCAAAATCGGAATAAAAAACGTGACCCTAGTAGGGTCATGCTATAATTTCAGTTTTTTCTTATTTATTCGGCAACCGTTGAGAATATTAAAATCCAGTTTTTTTCACGTTATTCTAGCCCACAAGACAATTCGCCTGACGTTTAATTGAAGCTTCTACGTGCCCGGGAAGTGTGTGAAAAATTAAAAAAACTAACTAATTTTTCGTCCATTTTTTGGGCATTTTTACTCGTGAAATCTTTTAGCGCCTATAACTTTTGAACGAATCATCATAGGACATTGATGTTCCCATATGAAATATTCTAAATCAAAAGATCTTTGACCCAGTATAACAATTTTTAAAATACCTCTTACCGTTCGCGAGATATACTCCAAAAACCGTTTCAAATTTTCAGATTTGAAACAGTTAAACGCCCATATCTCGGAAAATATTCGAAATAGGGTCATGATGTATATGAATGAAATATGCGCATTTAAAATATGTATCTGCAGGTGCAAAAATTTTTATCATAGCTCTAACCGTTCCCGAGATATTCGCTAAATACCATTTGCTCCTTTTCACATATTAAAAATGCGTTTTTCTCGAAAACTATTCGAAGTGCGATCGAAATTTTTTAATAGCATTTTCCTTATGTCATAAGGTATCAACGTTGTGAAAATCATCAAAATCGGAAACAAAAAATTTTCATCCAAAATCGGAATAAAAAACGTGACCCTCGCATCATGCTATAATTTCAGTTTTTTCTTATTTATTCGGCAACCGTTGAGAATATTAAAATGCAGTTTTTTTCACGTTATTTTAGCCCACAAGACAATTCGCCTGACGTCTAATTGAAGCTTCTACGTGCCCGGGAAGTGTGTGAAAAATTAAAAAAACTAACTAATTTTTCGTCCATTTTTTGGGCATTTTTACTCGTGAAATCTTTTAGCGCCTATAACTTTTGAACGAATCATCATAGGACATTGATGTTCCCAGATGAAATATTCTAAATCAAAAGATCTTTGACCCAGTATAACAATTTTTAAAATACCTCTTACCGTTCGCGAGATATACTCCAAAAACCGTTTCAAATTTTCAGATTTGAAACAGTTAAACGCCCATATTTCGGAAAATATTCAAAATAGGGTCATGATGTATATGAATGAAATATGCGCATTTAAAATATGTATCTGCAGGTGCAAAAATTTTTATCATAGCTCTAACCGTTCCCGAGATATTCGCTAAAAACCATTTGCTCCTTTTCACATATTAAAAATGCGTTTTTCTCGAAAACTATTTGAAGTGCATCATGCTATAAATTCAGTTTTTTCTTATTTACTCGGCAACCGTTGAGAATATTAAAATGCAGTTTTTTTCACGTTATTCTAGCCCACAAGACAATTCGAACGACGTCTAATTGCAGCTTCTACGTGCCCGGGAAGTGTGTGAAAAATTAAAAAAACTAACAAATTTTTCGTACATTTTTTGGGCATTTTTACTCGTGAAATCTTTAAGCGCCCATAACTTTTGAACGAATAATCATAGGACATTGATGTTTTCGGATGAAATATTCTAAATCAAAAGATCTTTAACCCAGTATAAGAGTTTTTAAAATACCTCTCACCGTTCGCGAGATATAGCCCAAAAACTGTTTTAAATTTTCAAGTTTGAAACAGTTAAACGTCTATATCTCGAAAAATATTCAACATAGGGCCATGATGTGTATGAATGAAATATGCGCATTTAAAATATGTATCTGCAGGTGCAAAAATTTTTATGATACCTCTAACCGTTCCCGAGATATTCGCTAAAAACCATTCGCTCCTTTTCACATATTAAAAATGCGTTTTTCTCGAAAACTATTTGAAGTGCGATCGAAATTTTTTAATAGCATTTTCCTTATGTCATAAGGTATCAACGTTGTGAAAAACATCAAAATCGGAAACAAAAAATTTTCATCCAAAATCGGAATCCAAAACGTGATGCTATTTGCTAGCATCATGCTATAAATTCAGTTTTTTCTTATTTACTCGGCAACCGTTGAGAATATTAAAATGCAGTTTTTTTCACGTTATTCTAGCCCACAAGACAATTCGAACGACGTCTAATTGCAGCTTCTACGTGCCCGGGAAGTGTGTGAAAAATTAAAAAAACTAACAAATTTTTCGTCCATTTTTTGGGCATTTTTACTCGTGAAATCTTTAAGCGCCCATAACTTTTGAACGAATAATCATAGGACATTGATGTTTTCGGATGAAATATTCTAAATCAAAAGATCTTTAACCCAGTATAAGAGTTTTTAAAATACCTCTCACCGTTCGCGAGATATAGCCCAAAAACTGTTTTAAATTTTCAAGTTTGAAACAGTTAAACGTCTATATCTCGAAAAATATTCAACATAGGGCCATGATGTGTATGAATGAAATATGCGCATTTAAAATATGTATCTGCAGGTGCAAAAATTTTTATGATACCTCTAACCGTTCCCGAGATATTCGCTAAAAACCATTCGCTCCTTTTCACATATTAAAAATGCGTTTTTCTCGAAAACTATTTGAAGTGCGATCGAAATTTTTTAATAGCATTTTCCTTATGTCATAAGGTATCAACGTTGTGAAAAACATCAAAATCGGAAACAAAAAATTTTCATCCAAAATCGGAATCCAAAACGTGATGCTAGCATCATGCTATAAATTCAGTTTTTTCTTATTTACTCGGCAACCGTTGAGAATATTAAAATGCAGTTTTTTTCACGTTATTCTAGCCCACAAGACAATTCGAACGACGTCTAATTGCAGCTTCTACGTGCCCGGGAAGTGTGTGAAAAATTAAAAAAACTAACAAATTTTTCGTCCATTTTTTGGGCATTTTTACTCGTGAAATCTTTAAGCGCCCATAACTTTTGAACGAATAATCATAGGACATTGATGTTTTCGGATGAAATATTCTAAATCAAAAGATCTTTAACCCAGTATAAGAGTTTTTAAAATACCTCTCACCGTTCGCGAGATATAGCCCAAAAACTGTTTTAAATTTTCAAGTTTGAAACAGTTAAACGTCTATATCTCGAAAAATATTCAACATAGGGCCATGATGTGTATGAATGAAATATGCGCATTTAAAATATGTATCTGCAGGTGCAAAAATTTTTATGATACCTCTAACCGTTCCCGAGATATTCGCTAAAAACCATTCGCTCCTTTTCACATATTAAAAATGCGTTTTTCTCGAAAACTATTTGAAGTGCGATCGAAATTTTTTAATAGCATTTTCCTTATGTCATAAGGTATCAACGTTGTGAAAAACATCAAAATCGGAAACAAAAAATTTTCATCCAAAATCGGAATCCAAAACGTGATGCTAGCATCATGCTATAAATTCAGTTTTTTCTTATTTACTCGGCAACCGTTGAGAATATTAAAATGCAGTTTTTTTCACGTTATTCTAGCCCACAAGACAATTCGAACGACGTCTAATTGCAGCTTCTACGTGCCCGGGAAGTGTGTGAAAAATTAAAAAAACTAACAAATTTTTCGTCCATTTTTTGGGCATTTTTACTCGTGAAATATTTAAGCGCCCATAACTTTTGAACGAATAATCATAGGACATTGATGTTTTCGGATGAATTATTCTAAATCAAAAGATCTTTAACCCAGTATAAGAGTTTTTAAAATACCTCTCACCGTTCGCGAGATATAGCCCAAAAACTGTTTTAAATTTTCAAGTTTGAAACAGTTAAACGTCTATATCTCGAAAAATATTCAACATAGGGCCATGATGTGTATGAATGAAATATGCGCATTTAAAATATGTATCTGCAGGTGCAAAAATTTTTATGATACCTCTAACCGTTCCCGAGATATTCGCTAAAAACCATTCGCTCCTTTTCACATATTAAAAATGCGTTTTTCTCGAAAACTATTTGAAGTGCGATCGAAATTTTTTAATAGCATTTTCCTTATGTCATAAGGTATCAACGTTGTGAAAAACATCAAAATCGGAAACAAAAAATTTTCATCCAAAATCGGAATCCAAAACGTGATGCTAGATCATGCTATAAATTCAGTTTTTTCTTATTTACTCGGCAACCGTTGAGAATATTAAAATGCAGTTTTTTTCACGTTATTCTAGCCCACAAGACAATTCGAACGACGTCTAATTGCAGCTTCTACGTGCCCGGGAAGTGTGTGAAAAATTAAAAAAACTAACAAATTTTTCGTCCATTTTTTGGGCATTTTTACTCGTGAAATCTTTAAGCGCCCATAACTTTTGAACGA